CATTTGTACTGCTGCAATATTTAATATTAATCAACAGAGCGCAAGTGATGTGGTTTGAATGGGCCAGTGAATGTAATGAAAGCTTTTACTTATTGCATGACCTAAAGAACACAAAAGTAATTCAGTGTAATGTAATTTTCATTGCATTGTACTGTGACGTATTAAAAAACCAATGCATTATAAACCATTCATTTTTGTTTTTCTTTTCCAAGCAGGTTTTAACTATTAACAACAATGAACTGCTCCACATGTCTTCTCTTTGGCAGTAGAGATGATCCAACTCTTTGATGCATGAACTTCAAAAAGTATATGTACTACTTTATTCTGCTTGTGGGATTTCTTTATGCTTCCACACACTATAAACATAAGGAACATTTATAGAGTGTGAAAGTGTAACCAAATCCCTTAAGGGTAATAAAGCACTACATATACAGGCATCAGAAGGTTAGATCATCCCCACTGTCAAAGTGAAATGCAATTCATTAAGAGTTAGAGAACATGAATGGCTTACAATGGTTTGGGGGTGGGGGGACTATGTCATCTCTAATTCTGTTGGTAAAAATGACACTACACTGAATATATAGCCTACAATCAAAAAACTTAAATCTTTGCTCTAATGGCAATCCTTGGTATTTGATTATAGCATGATTACAACCAGTGTTTCAATCATTTACATTTATGGGTCAAGCTTTCCTACCATGTGAATGCTAAATAAGTTATTGGGGACAAATTGATCATTAGATAACCCATGCCCATTGTCACTGGATAGTGTAAAATAGCCATTTGTCATTTCTGGCTAGGTACCCTGTATTATTAGTAACAGGAATCTGAAGATGCAAGAGGCTTTATAATTATATCTGATTTTTCCAGGGCTGGTGGTTCCAGCTTATTGCAAGAAAAACTATAACAAAATATAGACTCAAATTACAAAGCTGTCTTTTAAATCTCCACTTGTTCTCACAGATCATTTAATATGTAGCAGATCATGTTTAAAAATCCAGGAATCATCCCTTTCATCTACCTATGCTGTTCATTTTCAAAATTTGTGCTTGAGCCCACTAAAGAGCCAGAAGGAAGGCCAAATACCCATATGCAACAGGAGTGACTGGTGAGGGTCTGGATAATCAACAGCCCTGGATTAGTTTCCAGTGTGAGAGAGGTAATTCTGCCTGAGTAGCTAAGGGAATCTTCTCAATGTAGAAGTGTTTTCACTCAGAGCAAACATTTCCAATACTCAAACTGCTCCAGAGGAAAATGATTCTCACTTTGACAGGCTCTTGAAATAAATCTTTTGGAGGGTGCTTCTTAATTTGAATTTGGAGAAAGCACATTTCAAGTTCCAATCCTATGCACAAGTGCTTCTGATTGAAAATGAATAAATGTGCATCAACAGCCGTCAGAAATTTTGGGTGTATTGGCTAAAGGCACTTCCACGCAGCTATATGCTTTGCCTCTCCTATATTCTGAAGTAGTTTCATGGCACTGCAGCGCTCCATCCTCCTATGCTGTGAAGCAATGCTCCCTCCACCTGCCCGACTGAAGATGCAAAACATGGACACAGACCTTGTTCTTCCTCCCTATATTTCTTTCAGCAAGGAAGTTTGACAAAATTTCCCAGCCACTGAATGTTGGGAGGAGTCTCAGCTGATGCCACACCCAAAAACCAAGCTGGACACATTTCCAAGAGGGGACCCCCCCACCCTGGACCCAGCCAGGTCTTGGTAATGCATGCCGGGTCAGCCCTCTCATCTGTGATTAAATCACAGATTTAATCTGGCCTTATTATAACTGAGTAATAAGAGTGTATGGCTGGGTTCACTTACCTTGTTAAATCATCAAGAGCATTGTTTGATTTTAGTTTAATGGGAACCTAGTTCTCATGATTTATAAATCATAAACATGTTAAGCCATAACTATGGTTTATAAATAAGAACTAGGTTCCCATTAAACTAAAATCCAGCCAGAAGTGGTTCATTTAAAAACATGGTTAAATAAATCATGGCTTGGTGGAGGCCACCAAGATGCCTTCCATATTTGTGGATTTCAGTTTGAATCTGGATTTCAGCCATGAGCAATCTGTCTGAAGAATTTGGAAGTTGAAATCCAGGTGCTCAGGTTGAAGAAGCTGGCTTAGGCTTTTCCCCATAGTTTTTCCCATAGCTGACTTAGTAGAAGTTAATATTGTTGTCAAAATTGCTGTCCTCATTGCTGATCCCTATCTTGCCTCTACTGTTGCAGCTCTGACTCACTGCTGAAGGATGCCATTCTGATTTCGTATGTGTAGCTCATGCTAAGCAAAGTAATTGGTTGATTCCTGACTTTGCTATTCTCCCTCTTCTGCATGTCATCAGCCACTGGAGAAAACATCTGCCTATCATGACACAGCAGAAGAAATGTGGTGGGTTTATCTATAGGACTTGTGGTCATCTCTAGGCTCCTTCCTATGCCTATCCTCCTAAGCCCATTCTGTTATAACCTGAGGTGAATAAAGTTTTTTTTTGGTTTTGTTTAATATGAGAATCATGATAGGAAATTAGTTACAAGCTATATTTTTTTCTTACGTTTTCTCTACTTTTTCTTTCTTTATATGGGCAATGAATACTACCTTCAGGAGGGAATGGGGAGGAATTGGCCCCTTCACTGCAGTGTTCTGGTATTTCAGCCTGCTACACCATTCACAGTGTCACAGTTCAGCCTTGCAGACAAACTGCCAAGGATCATAGAATTAAAGCATTTAGAGTATTGCTGGTTGAACGGGTCAGAGCTATGGTGAGTCTGATAGACCACCAGCACAGTGCTGCTGTATCTTGTTCTTTAGTGTGACAGAAGGAGATTGGCAGTTGATGAGCCTAATTAGGACCAGAAGGAAAAGCACATGCCTGGTGGGATGTGGGATAGTGCAAAAGGGGCAGAGCTTCTGGTGTGATGCCCGGATGTTGCTTTCATGATTGTGACAAAAGAGGTGAGCACCTATGGATGCCTGTGCTGATATCTGTAATTTCTAGGAATGACTTTAGTCTGCACAGCAAATGGAATGCTTGGGAAAACAAGGATAGATCATGACCTTTGCGTAATACATCCTTCTTGCTTTCAGTGCTCTGAAAAAGAACTTGCTTTCCTAAAGCTCTTCATGGGCTAGCTTTTTGTTTTTTTTTCAGCTAGTTCACTAAAAGGCTGTGAAGAACTTACATTTGCCAGCAGCCCATTTCTCTGTTTCAGTCTCCATTTTGAAGTTATTGTTCTAGTTGTAGCCTGGGGAGAAGAAATGTTATTTCAGCTATTAGCAATGACAGTCTGGTAATCTGACATCTTCAGATTTCAGTTGAAATTTAAATATATAGTATATAAATTCTGACTCCAAAGAATTCTGAAGCCTGCATATAACCTGTTTCTATAGTAATGTGCAGACCAGTTTAATATTAGGTGGTATCATTCATTAGAATGACTGCTTAGATGTTTTTTAAAAACGATTAGGATACAATATTAAATAAATGGCAAGTGATTCCTAGTGATTTGATTATCAGCAGGGTTAAGTTCTGCTTTTGGAGTTATACAACTGTAAATTGATATTCTTTATCTATCTCAAATGAAACTACTTTAAGAATCTAAGTGCAGTGCAGAAGGACAAAATCTACATTACTTTATTGCATCATACTTTTGATGTGCCAAGGAGGCTATTTTGTTGGGATCGAATACTTTTTAAATTAGCATAAGGAACTTGGTGTTATTTATCAGAAGATGACATTCTTTAAATTAATATAAACTGAAATAGAAAGGTGAATGATAAAAATGTTTCATGCATCTTTGCTCTCTAAATACAGACACTTTCTCCTTTGATACAGACGATTCTCTGTTTCACACCACTTCTGTTTCATTTTCAAGTGCATATTCTGGCCTGGAATCACAGTGAGATATTTTTACAATCATCACATAAGACTTCAGTCAGAAACATTTTCAGAGGGTTTGGAATGCTCATCCTTTTTATCATTCTCTTGTAGGTAAATGCAATATTAAAATTTAGCAGATGCAATATTAGAGACCTAGACAAGAATTAGCAAGAGCTGGCAATTGAATTACATAGTGGGGGAATATGGGGCATGAAATCTGTAGAGCGAAGCATCATTTTGGTGGTACACTGGACAGATGGCCTGAATTCACACATGGTGCTAAGCCGTAACAGGTTTTTGGGTTACTATAATGGGTCAGTGCATTATTTATTTAAACATTTAATATGAAACTATGTACAGTTTTTGGCTTAATTATTGCAGCTCCAGTTTAGCATGACATACTAAGATTTGTTTCCTGTATTATTCCTTATTTGATCTTACGCCCTGCCAGAGCTTATATCTAATCTGTAAAAGTGTAAGTGAAGAGTAACTAAACAAGAGGGGGGAAAAAAACAACCCAGAATTTGGACCAATAAAACATGGTTATTTTGCTATTTGCAAGACTGACCTTGACTTATTTCCAGCTTTTTCTGTAAATCACAATTAGACAAGTCCCAATTTAGTGTGATGTGTGAATGTAGCCATTATCTTCAGAGAAAATAAAGGTAAAATCTAAGAAATAAGCTGCTGTAAAGAAATAATAAAAACTGTAACCTCTACCATAATGTGGCTTAACCAAACATTTTTCTCTCTCTGATACTTTAGGGATATTTCAGTTACAAGATACCATCCAAGGATTTGAACTGGTGGCCTTTTCCTGACTCTGGGAATGCTTACACTAACATTAATCTGCAGTCATTGAAAACACTTGAAAAGCAAGCAAACCACATGGCATACTTAACTCAGATGGATTCTTTATGTGAGAAACTTCTTAAAGACATTTGTTAAAAATAACCACCAACAGCTCCTCTTTCCTACCTACTGCAAGGTCCTATATTTTGATTTATTGGGCACTGATGGTAGCCTTCAGAAGGGACAGCTTCAAAACATCCACTTCTTCCTCTAGCAAGAAGAAAATCTGGATCTTGGATTGTAACACCACCTTCAGAAAAAATGGTATACAAGGACAAGCTTCTAGCATCTTGCCATCACTTTTTCCTGCTTGCAGCCAAATTCTGTTGGATACTCCCTGTGATACGAGGAATTTACGGCCAGGAATATGCCCACTCTATTCGACTCGATGGAGATGTGATCTTGGGGGGACTGTTCCCTGTCCATGCCAAGGGGGATAGAGGAGTACCTTGTGGTGAACTCAAGAAAGAAAAGGGGATCCATCGGCTTGAGGCAATGCTATATGCAATTGATCAGATCAATAAAGACCCTGACCTTCTTGCCAACGTCACATTGGGTGTCCGGATTCTAGACACATGTTCTAGAGACACTTATGCTCTGGAGCAGTCCTTAACTTTTGTGCAAGCTTTGATAGAAAAAGATGGGTCTGATGTGAAATGTGCTAATGGAGATCCTCCTATTTTTACCAAGCCAGACAAGATAACAGGGGTAATAGGTGCAGCAGCAAGTTCAGTGTCCATCATGGTGGCTAATATTTTAAGACTATTTAAGGTAGGTGTATCTTAATTGTTTATGTTTATAAATAGAGGCAGGTATTAATCAAGCTGGATGATATCACAGCAAGGAATATATCAACATCTGCCAAAAGTATCTTGCCTCGAACATGATTGTGGCAATGCTTGAGTAAGGTAGTATTGGAATTGACCATAACTGAGATTTTGCAAAGTAAAACTATTGTTCAATATTAGGAAAATATTTAATAATAAGTCTATTCTGATCTATGGTACTTGACTGAAAGTAGTTCATATCTTATATTTCTATCTATCTATAAGGGAGTTTCTAGCTGAAAGAAAAACAAAACATAATACAATATTGTGTGTGTGGTGGGGGGGGGGGTTGGCCATGACAGTGATAATCTAAGTTGGAAAAGAATGAAAAACAGTGATGGGAGAAGCAAAAATAGCAAAAATGGTTGAAAATATAGTTAAAATCAGTTGCAATTACACATGAGAAGAACTGTGGGATCAGATTAAAAACCTATCTAGTCCAGAATTCTGTTTCCATAATGATCTACCAGTTGTTCCTGGGAAATTTCAAGTGGGATCTAAGTGCAATGGTATTCTCTAAGTCATGCTCACCAGCAATTCCCCTTTTAATGGTTAATAGTCAGATCATCTATTAAGTCACATATGCAGGTCTAGATTTATGTCTAAGAATATATTTATTATTTAGGAACTTTAATTGCTTCTGTTTAATGAAGTGGGGTTGGAACAGCATAGAATAGAATCTTTTTTTTAAAGATACAACAAAATCAAGCTGTTAAATTTTGATTCCAAAGAAATGGTGCAGTTCTAATAACTAATTTAAGGCCTGGGAAAATAAAGTCTTCATCCATTTCTAAAAATAAAACAGAGGTACTACCAAAGTTCCTAAGGAAAGGAATTCCAAATCAAATCTGGGGGACACAACTAAAAAGCCCCTCCTTTAGTCACCCCCCTTCTTACTTCTTAAAAATTAGGTTTGTACCATTAGGTACTTGAACCTTAAGTAATTCAAGATGGAGAGGTTAAAACCAGCTCTTTCAATAACGTTTAGATTTGTGAGAGGATATGTTTGTTTTTGCTCTGTGTTATCTCCAGAAGTGAATTGGGAAAAGTAAAAAAAGGCTTCTCCAAAAGAAAAGCCACTTGGACTTGTGTGTTCTGGATTCTGGAATTGCTAGTACAGAGTTTTGCCTGGAGAACTTTGTTCAGGGACCTGTCATTATAATGAATGATTTAACTGAAGTTGATATAGCTACCAGGCATATTAACTCATATGGCACAGAGAACTTCTGATTTAATTATATATTTTTCTAGACTGGTTTTATTTGATTATACAATCACAGGATGATCAGTTGTCAGTTTTCATATACATTTGTTTATAAGAGTGCCAAGGAAGTAAATAGAGAAATATGTTTGAAATGCTAGAAATAGGGTCTTTGTCTGACAAAATATAACAAGGTGCCATTACTGTTGTGAGAAAGTTAGCCTCTCAATTTTTGCAAGCTTATAATTTTTCCTGGATGAATCTTAGCAACTCACTTCAGAACAACAATTATGTTGGCATGCTATTTTTTGACTTCATAATATACTTGTTTAATTCCTAGAGCATAAACACTGGAAAGGTAAACCTGTCACATCTTGTCAAATGTAGCGGACAGATGGATTCAACTGGAACTGATTAGGCAGCAATATTTAATTTTTTTTCAGATTTGGTGGATAACCAGTTAATGATGGTGCACTGAATATGGGGTATGTTGAATATATGCTGTGAATAGACCTCTTATAGGATTATTAGATTTGGGCTGCAAAAATTGGGACAACTATTAGATGATAATAAAAAATTAAGAGGGGCTTTCCATATTTAATTCTTGCCATATAGTAAATGTTCCAATTTTTGCAGTGCAGATCTGATAGCCTAACCTCTTATTGACATTTATTATCCTGTTCCTTGTGAATTTTAAGGAGGAGGGATGAAACAAATCAAACTCGGCTCAGTTTTTCTTAGGTATAATCATGGCACTCAACTGCATGTGTTCATTGTCTGCACTAAAAAGTACTGTGTTTCAGTCTTGCAGACATTAAAATTCTGTTTCATTCATAAGACCCTGTGAATGATAGCCAGAAAAAGCAGCCTGATGAGGTTGACTAGTTAGAGATGAAAAGAAAAGGAGGGTGTCACCACCTGGCTCCAAAACACTCTTATTTAGATGCCTTTGGAAAATGGATAGTTATGTGATTCTATGCAACCTCGTTTGTAAAGACATCATGCATAAATGAAGCTTAATCTTCCTTTGCTACTACACAAAGATCCCAAGCAAGTTCTCAGCCACTTTAAAATGAATTAATGTTAATTTCAACATATTCCTATGCCTGCCTTAGGAGATAAGTGACAGCCTTGTGATACAAATTCAGAGTCTTGATTCTCTCCTTGAAGTTGTATCTTATTTTAGAAGATGGTAGAAGAAAGGTATCAGTAAGAGCATCAATAAATAGTTGTTATAGTTGTATCCTACCAGCTTTTCAATTGTTCAGAATGGTTTTTAGAATGGTAGCATCATTGAGTTCAATGAAAGTTTGGTGCATCCAATCAACCTTTTGCTTGTTGCAAGGTGTCCAAGGGGATCCAGAGTTACAGCATATCTTTAAAATTTGCAGTTGTTAGCCTCTGCTTGAAGACCTTTGGTGAAGGGCAACACACTCTGGGGGTAACTGGTTCCAATGTTTTATTAATTTTTTCTCCTAATATTCAGCCAGAATCTGCCCTCTTGTAACATAAGCTACTATGTCTGGGTTAGCTGGAGAACAAGAACCCCAAGAAGATAGGTTGAGACGAACAAATGGGGACTTTCCAGTGACATTTGGGAGGACTTCAGCCTCACTATGAACATATACTGTATATGGTTCTTTGATAAAGTAGCCGCTTCTTACTCCTGAAATTGCTCAGGAAAAACACTTAATATTCTCAGACCACTCATTTCTTTGAATTATAGGTCCACAGTGTTGCAGGAAATCAATCCTTCATAAAGTGATGGCACACAAATAAAGATTTGAAACCATACATCCAGAGGGAATAATAATACAAAATTCTGAATACTCTTTGACTACAGTTCTGTCTTTAGTGATGATAATCATAGAGCCTGCTGCATATTTCTTTTTTTCAGTTGTTTGACCCTTTGTTAAAATCTTATCTATCCTATTCAATAATATGAAATTAAGAAATCCCAATAGACATTGTAGTTACTTAACAGCTTCCATAATACACGGTCATCTAAATTACAGCTCTCCCTCATTTTTTTTTTTTTTTTTTTTACTACTGAAGACAGTGAAGGAGACAGATTTAAGAAACTAATCCCTGTAGAACATGCATTAACTGTGACTTGAGAACAGCAAAAAGAAAGGGAGCCTATGAATTGTCTCAGATGCCAGCAATTTGTCTTTTGAAAGCATGACAGCTACTTCCTGATTTCCATTATGCAATGCAATTGCAAATAACATTCCACTGCAGTCTTAATCAATATAGGGTCACATGATACTCCTTCTGGGGAACGCTTCTACTTACCCATTTAATTGATGTAACACAGTTACTAGCAAAAGGAGGAGGCATCTCTTTTAGGTTTTAATTAGAGATTCTTCTAACTATCTTCGATAGGAATGAGGAAGGGAATCCAAAGAACTGTGTTTGAAGAAGTTTAAATCTTGGGGCTTGTTCCCATTTGGATCTCTAAATATTAGAGAATTAGTTCTTAAGGAGGGGAATAAAATATGCAACTGATTGGTTCTGTGAGTTCTAAGAAACATTTATTTCTTAGTAATTTGTAAAAAATAAATCTAAAACAGGAATTGAAGGCTAGCTTTGCAGTGGCTGAGTTTACATTTTATACTAAATCTTAATGTGATTTATTCTGGCTCAGTGTGATTTGTGAATCTAGCTGCTCTGACTTGTAAAATGAGTCTTATGACTTAGTGTTATATAGAACCTGGCCACTACAGCTTCTGCAACCAAACTTAGTTAAAACAAATAATGAATTAGTGTGATGTGTGAACTCTGCCATTGCAGTGAGTGAAGTACTAAAGTACTTCATTTATATGACTACCCCATCTCTCTACAATTAATTCCCCCCCCCAAACTTTTCATCACACTTTATTGAAACCAAAACAAACACACACACAAACAAAAAAGCCTTTGTTATTGTTATCCTAATAGGAACTGGATTTCTACAGGTTGGAATCACAAAGGCAGAAGAAGCAGGTTTAGCTTCCATTGTAGCAGCATGTTGTAGCTGATAAAGAATTCTGATTGTCCTATAAGTGCATTGCACTCCTGAGGCCATTGGATATGTTGTGTATGTGTGTTGCATTGACTAACATACAAGGATTAAATGACAGTTATGCCTCCTATGTTCTAAATCACTAACAGATGACAGTACTAACATGGAAGAAGCTCTGATGTGTTCTTTAGTATCTGTTCTTTCACTTCAGTTGGCAGAAAATTGATGCGAGAAAAGGCTGGGCTGCTACTGTTTGTGAAATAGAAACCTGTAGTGAGTACATGTGCCATGAATGAATTTTTGACTGGTGAAGATGTCTTTTCAATTGCAATTCACTACTAAATTCAGGTGGCTTATGGTAATTATATTAACTTGAGTACTGTGTTATGCTGGGTCAAAAAATGTAAGGATGGTGAACTGGGAAGAGCTGATTTGTGCTATTAACAATGAAGTGGACAGCCTGTGATAGCAAATGTTGAGTTTTGCATAAGAAAACTGATGAACTGATTAAAGGCAATCAATAGATCACTCAAGGGGAAATTGCTGTCCACCTTGGCATTTCACAGGAATGTATGGGTCATGTTATTTATGTTCTTCAGCATCTGTAGGTTTGTGGCAAGATGAGTTCCTCACATGCAGAGATGAAAGTTGAAGAATTGAAATTAGCCAGCAATTGTTGTCAATTGTTATGGGAACAAAGGTGAGGAATTTCTTCACAGCATCATGATGAGCCATGAAA